AGCCTCCTTGACCCCCCCCCTTTCCCCCAGCACTCCCATGGCTGCCCTGCCTGCCAGGACTGTGGCCCTTTAAGAAAAAAAAAAGTTGAGAAAAGCCCCAGGACTCTCTGCTCCTGGTGCAGCTTCAGGGGTTCCTGCAGAGCCCCCCATGTGGCATGGGGATCATCTCCTGCCTGCATGAGCAGTGAGTCCTGAAGTTTCTTCAGGGTCTTTTTTTCCTTAAAGGGCCGGAGCTGGCTCTTGTGAGACGCCCATGGGGGGGTTGGGGGCTCGTGCAGAGCCCCCCCATGCAGCATGGGGTAGTGATTCGGCCGAATCGAATCAGGACAGTGATTCAAATCACCAGATCGAACCACTGTCCCCTGAAATCATCCAAATCCAAAGCGAATACTAGCCACTTCACACAGGCCTACTGCCTGCCAGAATAATCTACTGCTAGATTCCACCTTGGTATTAGGACATTGTTCATGATTTGTATCTTAAGCTTTATTCTAGTTTTCTGTTCAACATGCCCACAGAGATGGAATGAAATGGGGTGAAGCATTAAAAAGACACACACCTCCACCCAAACAGGGTAGCTTCTAGTGGATCTCAAAGTAGTGACGGGTTTTTGGAGGTGGTATCTTTTATCAGACTAACTGTAGAGTTGGAGGAGACATTTGATAAGCTTTTGGACATAAAGGACCAATTATACAGTTGGTCCAATGAAAGACACCAAGCAGAAACCTTTGCTTCTTGCATACTTCCTGGACCATTGCAGCAACCATGCTCAAACCCCAGCGGTAGGATCTCAGACAGACACAGCGACGACATTTATTGAGACAGCAGACAACATTAAACTATGAACTGCAATGAAGAGCTGTCTTTCCTCAGCTTGTTCTTTTAATTTACATTCATTTCAAAGCAATTTTTTTTAAAAGTCACAGTTTTTTAAAGTGTCAATTCATCATTAAGGTGTCATTCATTTAAGATAATTTGTTCACACTTACAGAAAAGAGAAAAGCTCACCACTTATACCTGCGCTGTCTAGCCCAAAATAATTGAACTGATGCTTCTTTCTTTGCCAGCAGGGCATTGTTTTTCCCTGACTGGTTTAGGGGGAGGAGGAAGGCAGAGATGGTACCAAGTGTTATCTACGCTCCTCCAGCTGTCCTTTGGTAAAGCATGGTCCCCCACTAGGGAGAATGACTGTATAAAGAGCACCAGTTGTGTGTGTGTTCAGGCAAATCTATCAATCCCAGTGACAATGCTCTCTCTACTTTGGATTCTTGTTCATACTGCACAGCCAATCCAACCCTGGGACAGGAAGATGGACTTACGTGGCTTGAACAGCAAGACAGAATGAAACATTGCAACCAATAGTGCAAAACACGGCACCTCAGAGCAGAATCTCATTGCAAGGACAATGAGAACAGGCCAGTGATTGCAGGTAACAGATGAAGTTTTGTCCCAGTAGAACAGAAATGGCTGATTCCAAGGCTGTTCAGCTGACAAGTGGCACCCAAACAACAGACCACCATCTGGAAGATGTCAGCCTCTCAAATCGCCATAAGCCATAAAGATGATTTGAAATGACATAAATGGGGTAGATACTGGCTAATGCTGGTAGCAGAGTGCATCCTACTACCCAATAATTATGCCCTGGAATCACAAAAGGGTTCATTCCTTTTACTCATTCAAATAGCTAGGTGCAGATGCTGGTATTAATGCTATAACTAAAAGTGCAAGCTTTGCAGGCGCTAAGGGATGCTGCATTTGGCTTCACTGATTAGTAGAATTTGATTCTAACATTGACAGATTAAGAACAAAAAAAGCAATAGTTACTTGGTAATGCTTAAGTACACATTCTCTCCTCTTAAAGAGCTTCTCAGCCTTTTATCAATGAGCCTTTGGAAGGAGAAGTCAATTGTTCCTTCATACCAACATACCCCCAACAGCTGTTGATTACTGTGCCAGGTTTTTCACGGTGAATGGCAAGAAGATAAGCCTACCCACTATGGATGTTAATATCATTTTAAAAAACAGCCGTTTAAACTCTTCTAATTGTATCAGTTAACCAACAACACATACCTATGGGGTTGAGTTGAGGGTCAAATTGCACCAGCACACTATGACCCTCAACTCCACCCTAGCAAACACAAGCCATGCTTAAAAAAAATATGTTAACTCTTAAATGTTAACTATAATGCATTAACAATATAAAATACAATTATAGCATAACCGTTTAACTGTTTAACCTTTCACATCCCTAATACCCATCAGGAAAAGGGTTAAGGAAGCTTCCCTATTATGTTTGCTTCAGGGAGACACTAGGTTGGACTTGACAAAAAAGTTCAAATCCCAGCAATACCAATTCAGCCTTTTGCTCTCAGAAGGTAGCAGTACAATTCTGTGCCCATTATATCTAAGTAAACTCACATGGCTTTTGTTTTAATAGTATTAAAGGTTTCATTGTCATGACACTTGAAAGCAGGAACTGAAAAACCAAAGTTATGTAAAAATTATCTCCTTTTTTCTGCATACAGTTGGTTATGAGTACACCCCAGAAGTGCCTTGGCTGCCTTAAGTACATACTTTGGTATGATTTAAGTCCAGCCTGTCTGAGTAACCGAGGTTTTCTCAACTCAGCTATCTGGCTGCATAGTACAGCAAACACCTGACCATTTTAGGGACTATCAGAGGGGGGAAAAATGCTTAAGGGAGGTAAATCTTCTACCAAAGGCAGAGCAAAATTGTCCTCTAGTCCATCTAGGCTTAGAAGTGGTCCCCAGACTGGGTTCACTTGCAGTTTAGTTGCAGGGGCAAGACACTGTGCTGGGAGAAAATGTGTTCTGTTCCTGGATCTGCCATGGACTCAGTGCAATCTTGGTCAAGTCATATCACTACCCATACCTCTGTTCACCTATTGGTAGAAGGGGGCTATTGCTAGTCTCCCAAGCCTCCAACTTCAGCTACTAAACCAGTGGCTCTCCAAAGCATTAGACTCAAGGCACCCCTTAGAAAATATCATCTCCTAGCCATCACACACTTTTTGACTACAGAAAAATAATAAAGCAATTCTTACAGTACAAAGAACTCAAAAAACCCACAGCAGGGCAGACTGTGGATTCCTATTTGACATTTCTGGGTTTATCTTGTGAATCATAGATTCATAGATGTTAGGGTCGGAAGGGACCTCAATAGATCATCGAGTCCGACCCCCTGCAAAGGCAGGAAAGAGTGCTGGGTTCAGATGACCCCAGCTAGATGCCTAATGTCCAGTCTAAATCCGTTCTCTGCTAGCTTGTGGCCATTATTTCTTGTAACCACCCCGGGGTGCCTTGGTGAGTAGAGCCTCACCAATTCCCTTCTGCGCCCCCATGATCAATTTATAGGCAGTCACAAGGTCGCCTCTCAACCTTCTCTTGCGGAGGGCTAAAGAGGTCCAGGTTCTCTAGTCTCTCTTCATAGGGCTTGGCCTGCAAGCCCTTAACCATATGAGTGGCCCTTCTCTGGACCCTTGCCAGGTTATCCACATCCCTCCTAAAGTGTGGCGCCCAAAACTGGACACAGTACTCCAACTGCGATCTGACCAGCGCCCGATAGAGGGAAAGTATCACCTCCTTGGTTCTGTTTGTCATGCATCTGCTGATGCACGATAAAGTGCAGTTAGTTTTGCTGATGACTTCGTCACACCAATGACTCATGTTCATCTTGGAGTCCACTAGGATTCCAAGATCCCTTTCCACTTCTGTGCTGCTGAGCAGGTCATCTCCTAGGCAGTAGGTGTGCTGGACATTTTTCCTCCTTAGGTGCAGCACTTTGCACTTCTTGTTAAATCATGTGTAGGTGTTTGTCCATTCAAGTGTTAATACTGTGCAGCACCCCATGGCAACACTTAAAAGGATCTCAAGACACCCTGGTTTCAACTTAATGTACTAAACTAGAAGTACTCAACCCCCAGCGCCATGCCATCCAGCCCACGGGGCTCCCCGCAGGTCTGAAAACTTGGCAACACCAGGGCACTGTTGGCACTGTTCTCCTGCTGCTAAATTTCCAGTCCCATGGGGAGCCCCAGGCCCTGCATGCTAGATTGGGCACCTGATCACAGGACTGTGCAGGGGCAGTGCTAGGCCCCAAGGTCTGATCCCATACGTGTGGCTGGGTTGGGGTGGCACAGGCCACCAGGTCCTGATCCCAGCACGCAGGGCCAGGCAGGGGTGACACAGGCCACAAGAGCTTGATCTCAGTGCACAAAGGCCAACCAACGCATGAGGCCCAATCTGGGACCATGGGGACAAGTGGAGACAGCACAAGGCCTAATTCAGCCTCATACCACTCAGTTGGCCCATGGGGCCAAAAGCTCGAGCACCACTGCTCTAGACCATTACGCATTTTCCCGACATCTGCTGCTTATAATGATGAAAGGACAAGGTAATGCTAGATGTTAGCATGTGGATCAGAGGCAATGAAGCAGAAGTTACTGAGATCAGAAAAGGAAAGCTCTTTTGGGAAGGGACACAAACCCTTTACTCTTGTCAAAACAGCCTTGAAAGAATCTGCTGCGAAGGGTTTGACAATTTTCCTTTTGCCCCAGCCCAGCCAGCTACAGCATCCAAGATTCTCCCCTGCTCTAGGCCTCAGGCAGCAAGGAGTTTATCCATCACTGGATAGCACCTCTACCACCACATACATGACCACAGCTTTCTTCCTCTAGGAAGTTCCTGAACCACTGGCGTTTTCCTGGAAAACACAATCCTATTCCTCTGAAAATCAGTCAGGAACTTCTGTGTTCCCAATCTCAATTATAAACATACTTAAAGCAAGAGTGATTCCCCGGCTCTGGAGATCACACTATAAGTACAGCATGTGCCTAGAGACAGGATGTGGACAGATAGCAAGAAGCCAAGGCACTAGAGCAAGAAGCAACAACACTCCCATCCTATTTCAGTAGAAAACACAAATCTTGACACTTGGTGAATTAACAGAGGCAGTTGTGGGTTTCTGCTGTTCCATACTTTGAGGTAACAAATTCCAAAGCCAGAGGCCTTATGGCCTGTTCTCCAGCTGACCATGCTTGACTCTCCAGGTCCAACTGAAGCTGCAGTCAGGGGCAAGGGTACACTGTAGCTCGATACCAGAATCTGGGACCTCCATGTCATAGTGAACAGGCTGTCCCTCCTTTGTAACAAGGCTGAAAGCGGAGGCTGGGATCTGTGAACCAGAACAAAAAGCTAAGTGGCATCTAGTAGACAAAGTTAAGTCAGTACCTCCCCTCACATGGTCTACCTGGAATTAGCACTTAAAATCAACAAGGAATGTAAAGGTGAAAGATTTTATTTACCAGAAATGCTGTTCCAACCTTCCCAGGTAAGGAAATATTTTTAGAAGCCAGGCTAGCTGACACTTATGCTGCAGCTGGATTTCTTCACCACTTAGCACCTATTGGTAGCTGATCATTAAATTTGGGTGACTGAGTGAGACCTCTACGATCTCTTCTTTATAACTGGCAATCTTTTGTTTGTGACATCCCAGTGAAAAGGCCATGCCAGACATGGGAATGGGCAATGCTATATATGAATATTTCACACTTCTATAGCCCTTTTATTCACAGAAGCTGAAAGCTTTTTATGACCAAGTAAGCTTTAGTGCCAGGATGCTGCTAGTTTTTTTGGCCTTCCTCATAGCTTCCACTGACACAACTAGCCTACTGAAGATGGCCAGCATCCCTTCCAAGATAGCTAGGGGCATCAGAATAATGCAATGCCCATTTTGTTCAGCTGATAACACTACAGACCTCTACAGGAGTGGTATTTCTAATCTCCCTAGAAAGCCAAAAGCATCTCTAGTAACAAAAAGGAGTCCCAGGACCTTAACAACTCAACAATCTCATCAGAAGTGGTGACTAAAAAACACTAGCTATTTACCACACTCAAGTTTATGAAAGGGATCATTTAACCTCATGCTTTTAACTGTAGGACACTGATTTGAAGAGCCCTGTGGTCCTATGTTCTTATCAGCACTGACTAAGCAATTACCAGGTGAGTTATTATAGTGCTTAAACAGATTAGTTCATTAGCTTCCAAAGCATCAGTACACTGTCCACCCATGGAGAACCATGCATTCACAGCACTGTGCCGATTCCTCACCTGGCCGCTTATCCCTGTGGCAATGTCTCCAACCTTTGTCCTGTGAAAGTCTCGGATATGTAGGTTTTCTCCACTTAGCAGCTGGATCTGGATTTTCACTCCTGAAATCATCCAAAAAGAAGCTGTTCACTCCAGCTGCAAGCTTGGGGTTTTACAGTCCAGTATGCAGCTGTCCTACAGAGCACTGACAATGTCCATGCACTGACATGTACCCAAGGTACTAATCTGTGCCACTTAGTGCCATGTGTATCTAGATCTTCCCCTGTATAAGTACAGGAGCTTGTCCAGACAAGAATGACCCACATAAAAAGGGCTGGGTTTCGCAGGGAAGTAGTCCATGGAAAAGGCTGGCCAGCAAGAAGTGGCCTTCCACTTATTTTCTGTCCTGGGGAAGTCTGCTGGTGATGAAGGATAAGTCCTCCCAAACAGATTCTGAGTTGTGAGGCTCCAGGGGAGCTACAGACATATGTGGAGCACAGCTGCTCCCTAAGCGCCATGATTCAGCCATTTTTTTCTGGTTGCCTCATAAAAGTACCCTGCTTATAACACCCTCCACCCCTCTCAGATCAATAGGAGCAGATGGCTGAACCTCTTGGACAGCCCATGTGCTTTTATATGGGATGAGATGCTTTACAAGATGCCCTCCAAATTCCAAGGGAAGGTTTCTGAGCTGATGGAGCTACTGAAAGGGAGGAAGCTTAGAGAAATACAACTATTCGAGTGCAAACTAGAGGCTGAACTGACATCATCAACCCACATCTTCAGAAGAAAGCTGTGCCAACCCATTCATACCAAGTCTGAGACACAAATAGACCAACCATTGAAATAGCTGGGAGTGTCTGTGTGTCGACTGCGATACAGCAGGTTATTCCAACTGAAGCTCTGTCCATCTGACTGGCTATTCCAGGAGTGAATTCCAGAGCTCATGGTGTCCTTCAGGCTCTGAGAGGCCTTCAGGGAGTTCTGTAAAAAAGTAACCACCATTATTACTCAATTTCCTGCTTCTGCACAAGCAGGGGCCAAGAGCATTAGGATTCAGCAGCCTGTGGTCCTAGGTTACACCACAGGATGCACTAGAAGCTGAGACTGTAGAGAGCAGTGTACACACTGCCCTGGCGAGAGAGGGGAAAATCCCCTCTGGAACACAGTGTCCAGAGAAGGACTGTCACATTATCTCTCACTTCCCCATCAAAAGGCAGTTGCTCTCATTTCCCCAACAACCCACAAGGCAACCACTGCTGGCATTTGCTTATTTTCACCTTCTCACTGGCATCAGATGCAAGGGGACTGTCAATACTGAGACATGAAAGCATTTGCTCTTGCTCCTCCAGAGAGTACGGCTGTGACAGGCTGTTCAAAAATAATTCTACAAGCAAGAGAGAAAGAGAAAGAAACATTTGCAAACATTCTAGTCTCATGCCTTCCCCAGGGCATTCTCTTTTTTCCAGTTAATACCTGAAGCTCTCTAACATCCTCTATTCAGTTTTAAACTCTTTACAAACATTGAAGTGACTCTCAACCATCCTGCTGTCCACCAACAGAGGGGGAACAACAGTGTGCTTTGAAATGGCAATTCTGTAAACTACTTCGGTTAAACCAACAGCTACCTGTTTAACACAGGATGCTGCTTTGACAGCCTGGGGGTCCCCTCTCCTTCCATTCCTATACCTTACACAATGTTACAAGCCAAGTCAAGACCAGAGCCAGGACTAATGTGCATGGTCTCAGCTCTTATTACCCACTATTTTTAGCCACCTATTTTTTTTCCTAGGTATACCTGGCTAAGGGTTCTTTGGACACAAAGCAAACTGGAGGGTTTTTAAAGCCAATACCTACTTTCATGGGTGCAAACTTAACATCTGAAATATCCCCATGTGTAGCAGGTTTAGAAACATTTAAAAAAAAAAAATGATTCTGAATCCTACAGATGCAGGCTGCTGGAGTGTTCCAGGATGAGGAGTGGCTTGCATCACTGCTGCCTCTGCAGCCAGAGGGCTAGAGAGACCACGTATTAGCATGCTCTGAAGAGGCCCAGTCTTAGAAGGTTTCCAAGGGCTACTACCTAGCATGGTAAAACCCTGCCACCATCCAAGAATAGTGCCTTCCAAACTTCCTGCAGAAATACAGCCAATTCAGACTGATCTTAGCTGCACTAGTCTGATTTTGACAGTTCCCCATCAAATGCTTTTCCTGTTTTACAGAGACAATCAGATTTTTCTTATGCTTCGATTCGACAGTGCCCAGCTTCTCAGCTCCCATTCAATTACAGAAGTGGTAAGGCTCCAGATCTCTTCAGTGGAGAAGGGAGGAATAACCTACAGCCCATGGCACCAATTTCATTGCTTATTTGAGTGATCTGAAACACTCAATATATCTGACAAAAGGGAGAAGTGTGTGTAGCAAATACATTCCCCCCTTTTTTGGGAAACCAACCAACAATTTCTGGACACCCAAGAGAACAACCAGAATCAGTCAGAAAAAAAACAGATGAACTGCCACACTACTTCATACTGCTAATAGTTTGAAAAGCGGCATTTTCCTGAGCAAATACTGCACAGTGCATGTCTTACCTATTTCCAACTGTTGAAGCTCCTGTTCTGAAACAGTCATTGCTCGTTCTGCATAGCTGCTGCTTTTGGTGAGGACAGGAGTGGGATCACAGACCCCAAGGAACTCCTTACACAGATTCCAAGAGGTTCTCGCAGTCTCTTCTGACAGTTCCAGAGATGGTGGCTGCAGGCTTCGACTTACACAGGGAGCACTGACTGCCAAGTCTGGGCCAGAAGCAGTCTCAGAAACTGGGTTAATTGTTGAGGACAGGGAAGTTTGTGGATTGTTTTCTTGGTTCAGAGACAAGCATCTAGGTTCTCTGTACTCCCCCCTCCAGGGGCTTGTCACACCTCCCACTACAAAGCAAAAGGTACATCAGGAGAGTTATACAGAGAGAAGAAATGCAGCAAACTTCTTCCACAACAGGATTGTGCACTACACCTTGCTGTAAAACACCCAGGAGCATCAGGAGTTGAAGCCAGGAACTTAGAGAAAAGCTCCAACATACTATGGAGCCCTCCAGTGGGTCTGTGCTGTACAAAGTTTTGACTCGTCTCAGGGATAGTGCATATGCATGGGTTTTTAAAGTATGACAAATCCACAATGTTCTGATGTACTGGATAACAAAGACCACCTGTTTACTCACTAGATGAAGGAGATCTAAAGTTGCTTATCAGAGTGTTGACTCATACTAGCAGCCTTACAAAAAGCACAGCTGCTTCTAAAGACAGACATGGATGCAAGAGCCTGACAATGCTTAAATAAATCAGTTTTTATAGTCAACTCATGGGACTCCTTCATGACAATTTAATAGGAGAGAAGGCTACAAGCAACCCCAGTCAGACACATTAGTCCTGTTTTGAGTGTAGACAGGGAGCAGCAAGACGATGCATATGCTGCATCCTGTATTGTGGCAATTTGTAAATTACTTACAACAGGGATCAGGCACAGTCTGACAAGCAGCAAAATTCAGATGTGACTGATTGCTGACCATTTTAGCCTGGGATGGATAAGCAGAAGCCTGGAAATAAGACTTACACTGCTCAAGTGCAGTATCAGCTTTAGCCTTCAATTCAGCTGCAGAAGCTCTTTTAACTGGTTCCTTCTCCAGCCCCACTTTAATGACCTCAGCCGTGAGAGGACTACAGGTAGGCGGGATTTCCCTCAGAGGAGGTGGTTCCTTTGCTATCTGTATTACGAGAAAGAAGCAGTGAAAGATTAAGCCGAACCAACATATTTTCCATTGTGCTTTCAGTGGCAGGTTCTTCCCCACACTTGCTTAACTGAGCAGATCTGTTTCAATGCCAGGACTTAACTATGTAGTCAGATGCAAGTGGAATCTTAAAAGCAATTTAGAACACATGCCCCAATAACTGACAAAGAAGCTAGTTTGCGTGAACCCAGATGCTGCAAGTGACTCACTCCTAAGTCAAGATTGGAACTACCAACAAGTTCCATTTTGCACTTTGGATATCATCCCTGAAGCACACTGCCTCTCTATGTATAGAGAAAGTTTCACTTTGGGTCTCCTGCTTGTTGCACTCTTGGGTCTGCTCACCTTCAGGCACAGAGGATGATTATAATACTGGGTCCAAGGATGACAGCCATTGAGCATATGTAGCATCATACAGCAGCTACTCCAGACATCCACCTTTGAGTCACAGCGCTTGCCCATTACTACTTCTGGAGCCATGTGTGTCTCTGTGCCAGGCACGTAGTCCCCTAAAACGCATGATGAAAACTCAGATTACTGTAAAACCCACTGTGTGGAAGTCAAAGAGCAGTCAACATGTGCTCCAGAGGTCAGATGAAGCTGCAGGTGCTCTAGACTTTCATCCACAATGACAACTTCAAAGGCAACTTGAACCAAAAAGCAGAACTGCATGCTGTTAGCTATCACTCCTGAAGGCCATAAGTTTACTCTGTCTTGTTTCTACCTGCCCCTTGATATGCCAGAAAGAGACTACACTCCACCTCTAGGCAAAACTGCTATGCAAAACATAGCCCTTACGCAGGCAAGTTTGGGAACTCATGGCATGAACAGCTGGAACAGGCACCCATGTTTACAGGCAGGATGAACTCCTGGCCTTCACTGAAGTTAAATAAATTATTCATGTCAAGGAGGCCAGTGTTTCACCACAGGGGCTCAGGTGCTGACACAATAAAATAGTATCAGCTGTTTAAAAAAGAAAAACCTTTTAAAGGCTCTCTTTAAAAACAAGACAGACAACTATTTAGATTAATTGATTTCATTTTACTAGAGAAAGCCACCATCTGGGTTAGGAGCCTGAGATCAAGTTCCAGGCATAAAAGAAACCCATTGCCAATAATGTTATCATGAAGACATCAACACATTTTAACTGCAGTGATGAAAGTGGCGTGTTAAACCAGCAGACACGTTACAGTGGCAAGGCTGGCCTGATAGTGGAGAACATAACAAGGTACAAGAGACAGAAAGTACTTGGCTCAGTGGGAAAGTCTCCTGAACACTGCAGACAGACCTTACCTGTCACCAAGCGTTTCCCCAAGCCATCCGGATGAAGGTGAGCAGAATGACCAAAGTCACAGAGGAGAGCCCTGCTTCCATCACTGGATAAGAGCACATTGTCCGCTGTCAATTAGAAAGTTTTAAAGATCAAGCTCATTTTCATGTGTCACCCTTGGGCAAAGACAGCCAAAAAGCTAAAGTCTTTGTTGAGCCCAAACCTAAGAGTTTCTCTTACAAACTTACTCATGAAAGTAAGCAGATAGCATTAGTCTGCTGAGCTCTTGCTAGGCACCACTTCATCAATACCTCTCAGTTCTAACCTGTAGAGTCCCTTTTTATCAGCCCTGGACCACCCAGGGCAAAACAGCCAGTCATGCCAATCTGAGCAAGGAACGGAAGCCTTAAAACTGTAGCATTTGTAATGAAAATGGAGCTTTGAGCTTGAATGTACTGAGCTAAAATACAAGTAAATTGTCCCACTACATCACCCAAGAGTGATGTGGAATTAACAGGAGGAACCTGTTCACTCAAAGCTTGTTAAAAGAAAAAGGAGAGAGAATAAAAGGGTGCTTTAAATGCAACTCTACCTTTTACATCTCCATGCAGAACGTTGCAAGCATGAAGATGCTTCAGCCCCTCTAGTGTTTGCTCCAGGTAACTGAGGGCTCGGTCCTCCGGCAGATAACCCGTCTGTTTAATTAGCTGCCCAAGTGAGCCACCTATAAGAGAATTCAGTTTTCATTTCAGTCTTATACCTGTCCAATGGCCCTCTGTAGTGATGCCCAATAACCTCCTTTCGCATAGATCCCAGTAGTCTCATGTAGTTCAGTAGCCTTGCATCAGCCCATTACCAATGTGACCATATCAACCTCATCTTTCAAAAGGCAGTGCCTCCCATTGTTCTGGTTTGACAGGAAGAGCTGCATGCAAGGGATTTCATAGATTTCTAGGGTCAGAAGGGACCCAGTAGATCATGGAATCTGAACCTCTGCTAGGTTGTATCTAGTTTTACTACAAACTCCCTGCTCCAGTGTAATATATTACATGTTGTAATAATATTAACTTTTATATACTGAATCTTTAGTTTTAAGAATGAAAGCTGTAGTATCCAGTCAAGTGCTTCAGGCAGAGGCTTTAAGAAATGGTTGTCCTTCCTTGTTCAGAAATCCTGAAGTCAGGAAATCATTCAAGAGATGCTCATTCCTATGCATCAATAGTGATGAGCACCAGCTACTCCAATCCACTCAGCAATGAACTCTGGGAAAATCCAAAAATACTAGGGGTGCACCGATAACGATTTTTTGGGCCAATACCAGTAGCTGATTATTAATGGGTCATATTGGCTGATACCGATCTGGTTGCTGACATCCAGTCTGGCAGCTTGCAGAGTAGCATCCAGCTGGTAAGTCTTTTGTGGGGGAAGGGGTGCAGGGGAGGGAAGGGGCATGGGGCGATGCAGATTAAGGCCCCTGCTTCAAAGGAGGGAGTGGAGCTGGGGCAGGGTGGGGCGCTGGACAGTCACAAGGAGCTCATTCAGGGGGCATGGGGGGGGGTAGCTCCCACTGCTGTGTGCATACATGGGGGAGCCATGGGGGATATTTGCCCCCCAGCTCTGTGCATGGGCAGGAGATGACTGCCACTGCATGCTTCGGGCCAGGGGCTGCACTGGGCTCTTCCCAGCGGGGGGTGGGGAGGCTAGGGCTGTGCTGGGTAGCAGCACTGGAAGGGTGGGCTACGGGGGGCCCAGAGCCCGCTCCCAGTGCTGCTGCCGCCCAACCTGAGCACAGCCCCAGCCCAGCCTCTCTGCGCTGGGAAGAGCCCGACACTGCCCTGGCCCCAGCCCAGTGGCAGCCTGCCCCTGCCCCAGCCCCATGCACAGAACCAGGAGGCACATGCCCCACATGGCTTCCCCTGGGACTGAATGCTGTGGCAGGAGCCGCCCCCTCCCTCCTCTTCCCTATGCCCTCCAGATGAGCTGCTTGCAGCTCCATCAGGCACCCCATCCTGGCTGGGCAGTGCCTGCCCCAGCCCCACTCCCTCCCTCCCTCACCACGGTGGCCATGATCTGCCCCCCTCCCCATACCCCTTCCCTTCTCCACAGGATTTACCAACCCAATGCTGCTCTCCAAGCTGCCAGGTTGGCCCACATACATGCTGAAGCTGCACACATGGATGTGGCATCTATCAGCAACATTATTGGCCACATCAGCCAAAAAAAGCCGACTGCCGATAATGTCAATTTCCTTTTAATCGGTGCCAATACGATGTGGACCGATACATCGGTGCACCTCTAAAAAAAATACCCAAAAAAGTCAAACAGCTTTTAAGTGGGAGCAAAAAAAGAAGGTAGTATATATTTCTTTTAATGGGAACAGTGCCACTTCCATTATGCTAGCTTCTTCCTCACCTTCCATTAGCTCCATGAATATTGTAACCCAAGGACCTTCCCTGACTGCTCCATACAAAGGGACAACTTTGGGACTCGTCACCCCAGCACATGTCGTTAACTCCTCTGCACGAAAGTGTTCGACTTGCACCTGGAGAACCAAAGAAGAAGACTGAGCAAGAGTCATGGAATAGGTCTCCATAGAAGATCCTAGCCACAGACATCCCCTCTATGCACTGAGTAACTGAGCCTTTTACAAAATACCAACTGAACTTCAGCACTAGCAGTTCTAGAGGCAAAAAAGGGCCGCTAAACCCAGCGTGCACAGTACTGGGTGCGCTGAAGCTGACACTCTTGAGTGAGAAAGAAATTCAACTATGTGATCTCATGGGATATGAGAATCCCTAGCACTCGGAGCACAGCAACGAGACCAGCAGCTTTAAAAAAAAGCAGACAGAAGAGAGCTCAGACTACCATGCCTCTTTTCAAAGCCTCTGTTATTGTGGTTGAATTCGCACCATTTTGGTGAGAAGGTTTAAGTAGTCAGCCCTAGATAGGTCTTGTTAAAAAGGGACACCAACAACCTACTTAGCGTGCTTCTATCTAAACACTCCTGTAACTAGGGGCCTAAAGGCCGTAAGTTGCAAAACTGTGCTCCAAACTGTAAAGATCAGATTGCTTTGTATGGTTGACAGCACACTGCCTGGTTTCTCTGTTTGTGCTCAACTTCCACACCAATATGGAAGAAATACACTTTGAGAAAGCTGGGAACATGCAAATGTCAAAACCTCAGAGACTGAACAAGAAAATCCAGCAGAGATGCAACACTGGACACAACTGAGACACTAAATTAAAAAGGGAACTCGAAAAAAACCAATGTATAGTAATCAACTCATTAGGCAGTAGCAATGCTACACGAGGCAAATAGTTAAACAGAACTCTGATTCACATGAAGCTGGCTGTACAAAGACAAAACTCTGCTGAAGGAAAACATGACTCATTTGGACGTTGGTGGGAGAAGGATGCTTTATGTTTCATTGTTGTCAACAGTCCAAGCCACAGCTAGTTTGGTTTCTAAGGGCCTGAGATTAAACCAGCTGCTGACAAGATCAAGTTTGATCGAACAAGAGTAGGTAGCTTGATTCCAGTAAAGAGTGTGGTAATTTCAGACAAGCCAGGCTTTGCACTTGAAGGCTAAGGTGTCTTAACTTAGGTTGTTTGTATTCTTAACTGCTAGTTAATATTTTGACAAATTTGAAATGCACAGACAAGTCCTTTTCTTCAGCTGAACAGATACTTTCTGAAGTCCTCATTAAAAAACTGTACGCAGAAGAGAGAGACAGAGAGAGAGAGTGTGTCCCCTCCCCTACCCCCAACATAGGCCCCAATTATCTGTAACAGAATTCCTTAAGCATTGCCAGGTGGATAATTAACCAAAGTGGAAAGATCTGTAAGTTTTGGCAGTGACATTATGACCTGCTCTTGCTTCCATGAAGCCATTATATGCATTTATAATTTTAAATATAATCACAGATAACATGACATTTTTGGAGGTATATGATTTTTCTTGTTCATGATGACCCTCACTATGTAGCACACACGAGTGGGGGGGGAGGGGGGGAGGGAAGAGATGAGATCAGTTGTATTAGTTTACTGACTTTTTTATATAAAGTTTGTTCACATGGCAGAAAAAAGTCAGGCAGAGAGAATTTTTATTAGGAAAAAAATGAATTTTAATTAAGATGAAATTAAGATTTAATTAAAAAAAAAATCTTTTGCTGTATCTAATGTTTCCATTCTAAAATTGGTTATGCCTTAGAAGCTTGACTGATTGCTGCTAGAATAATGTGAGAAAAATATGTTTAACAACCACCAAAAAGTAAATAGTATGCTACCACTGATCCTCTGGATCATGGTGTACACCTAAGAGGTCTAGTTGGATGCCTGATAAATTCAAGAGCGACACAGCTTGTTAAAAGTTTCAAAGATCCATATGCTGTCTAGGCTGGAGTCATAGGTGACTGGTAGGGGGGGGCACGGGCCCCGCCCCCCCCCCCCCGTGGGGCCTGGTGCCGCCGTCAGCAGCTTCTGTGGGTGCCCCCCCCAGATTCAGGAGGCACCACCCACTCATGGTTAGTGTCCAAATTTACAGCATGCTCCTTCTTTTTTCTTGCTTTGCTTCCAACCTCTGGATCAAAGCTGCTTCATGTTGAGCTGCCCAGTGTCAGATATTCCCTCCAGATTGAACAGGATTCTGCATTCTCCCCGCAGCTTTCTATGTTGATGTTAAATGACTTCGTATACTTTTTGGACACATTGTGGTACCACCATAGAGGGTGACCCTGCTTTCTAGAGCTGTCTGTCTCTCTCAAATTTCACTATACAAAATATTCTTGGAGATACGGTCTTCTCCCATTCTCCTGACATGGCTGATCCATGGCAACCTTTTCATCTTGATAATGGTTTATAAGTGTGTCAGTCCTGTGCACTCTAGTACCCCTGTGTTTGATATTCTGTCTTCCCATTTTATTTTCAGTCTCTTATGCAGAAGTTGTTCAGTCTCTTGTTATGTTTAGCATATGTAGTCCACATTTCTGAACCATAAAGCAGAGATGACAGCACACGTCTCATAGATTAATGTCTTCACCTTAGCTGATAGCTTGCTATTATTCCATGCGTATTTCTGTAATAGCCTGAAATTCTTAGCTGCATTTCCAATTCTGTTAGTTTCAGCCTGGAAGTCAAGATTCCTCATGATCATAAAACCCAAGTAACAAATATTGTCAACAGCACCAAGAGATTTACCCTTCCCCCAGAGAGATGTCAGGTATTTTTTTTTTTTTTTTTTTTAACCTTGGTATATGATTGATCAGTCTTCTTGAGACTACTTGCCATCCTGAAACTCTTGCATGAGATTCAGAAAATCTGCCCAAGAGATTTTGCAGAGAATATTCACTGTGGGCAACCAAGGCCACATCATCTGCAAACAGGAAATCTGTCAGAACCAGCTTTTTCACCATGGTTTTCACTTTAAACCTTGCAATTTTGAACAAGCCTCCATCTAGTCTGATTCAAATATAAATGCCATCATTGCTGCCCTTGAATGCATGAAGAAGCAAGAAGATGTTAAAAAGCATGGGAGCTAAGACATCCTTGTTCCACACTGTTGATGTCAAAGGCATTTGATTCTTTGTTTTCATACAGTACAGTTGCCTTCATACCTTGATGTAATAAGTGAATGATGTTCAACAGTTTGGGAGGGACAACCCAGTTTCTTCAGAACAGTAAAGAGGCCCTGTCTGTTGACTATATTGAAACTAAGGCTAAGATCAGATTGACTAAGGCCACGTACAGTAGCATTCGTTGTCTACACTTCCCTTGCAGTTGCTCGACCAAAAAAAATATCATATCAGTGGTGTCATGACCCAATGATTGTGTGCGCGCTTCGGCACTGCAGAATTATTTCCTGCCACATGGAGCTTTCTTTGCAGGGTGCAATTCTCAGCTGTAGAGAGAAAAACCCCGGTGCAAAGGAGTTCCCGCCACCCGTATGTAAATTTGTTCCCCATTATTGGCTGTTTCTAAATTATTCCCACATGGTGGCTAGCGATTGGCTTGCTAGCCATATAAGAGGCTTGAGCAATTTCCGCCCAAGTCGGAGATCTCCGAGAATCTCAGGAGGATCCTGAGAACCCCGATTCTGAGAATTCCGGGAGAAATCCGAGAGAATTCCGGCAAGGAGTCCACGATTACCTCGTGGATTTCTACGTATATCTCGGACCGACTGGTGGTTTGATCAGCCATCAAGAGTCTCTCCCTGTCACCGCACGATCCCCGACGTATCCCTGCCCTGCGCGCTCATTGAGAGTCACAGCACGGACTCTCGTATGGGTTCAGAGAGCTCTCATCGTTCGAGTTTTCTTCTTTTCTTCTATCTACAACTGTAACCAAGCAAGTTTTCCTGCCTGCACCACGACCATCTACCGTGTAAGTAAAATAATCTTTAATCAACCTCTACACGTCAGTGCCTAATTCTAGTCTGCCATGCCGACTTTCCCGGCCCACGTGCCCGGGCTGCTGGCCACAGCCCCTCGGCCCCGACAAGTGGTAGAGCATTCTGAGCAAAAGCCACATTGACTTTCAGAATAGATTCTTTCACCCAGAGACTGCAGCCTAGAGAGCATTGTGTGAGTGACATTTTTCCCCCCCCCGACAGTGTTCAACAGGTAGATACCTCTATAGTTGTCACAGTTGCTTCTATCCCCTTTGTTTTTTGTATAATTGTTTAAACTGAGCATCTTTGAAATCTTGTGATACCGCTTCTTTTTGCCACCAGAGGAGAATCACTTCATGAAGTTTTCAAAGTAACCCGTTGCTGGCACATTTGTAGATTTCAGCAGGCAGTCCTTGCCAGATGCCTGTTTCCAGAAATGGATTTAATGGCTTTCTGAAAATCTTCTAGCATAGGCTCACTGAAATTAAACATGAAGAGCTCTAAGGATTAGCACAGTTCGAAGTTATGATGGATTTTGACAATCTCACTGGAGCATAATTCCATAGAGTTCAATCCAATGCTCAAATTGCTTTTATCTATCAGTAAAGACATTTCCATTTAAGTCTTTCAACAGAGCTGTTTTCTTCTCCACTGGACCAACTGCTTGTTTGATGCCTTTGTACATTCTACAGCTATCACCTGCATCAGCTGCTTTCTGAATATCACCACACAGTTTCAGCCAAAAATCTTGGGCATACCTCTTAGCCTCCTTTTGCATTTCTCTTTCAGCCTCTCAGATGCTAGTGTTATGGTGTTGGGAGATTTCTTATAGTTGGTTAGCGCTGTCCTTTTGTTCTCAACCAGTGGTAGAAGGGCTCCAGAGTGCTCTTCACACCAGTCTGCTTTTTTCTTGTGAGTGTTTGGCAAACACTGTTATAGCAGCATTGTACATGTTAGTTTTTAAGCTTTCCCAAGCCTCAGTGGCTGAGTTGTGAAAGCAAATTTTACCTAACAACTTCTTCACTGAATAGCTTGCATTTTTTATGTCTTTAGTTTGGCTGATGTTTATCTAAGGGCAACTGGTAGTTTAGCTACGGTGGATCTTTTTGACATTAATTCTTACTTTGCAGTAGACTAAGGCATGGTCACTGCCACAGTCAGCAGTATGATAAGACCTTGTATGCAGGATTTATTTTAGGTGGTTACACCTGGTCAGTACTAGATCTAATTGGTGTCAGAGCCCTGACCTTGGATGGTTCCACAATGTCTTTCTTATGATTTCTGCAGTGAAGTAGGTGTTTGTCACAAATAGATTTTGATTTGAACTAAGTCCTAACACTCGCTGACTATTTTTATTCACGTTACCAATACCGTGTTTGCCCAGCCTACTAGGGCAATTCTTAAAATTACATCCAACTCTTGTATTAAAGATTATTAAACCCTGTTGTTGAATTTAATAGTACAAATTATGTGAGAATGTGATCTATTAGTTGCATCTCCTGCCACTGCAGGAGCCTTTGACAAACTTAAAAAAAAAAAAAAAATCCCCTTGCTAACATTAAGCTCGACATGCATCACTTCAAGAAATCATCCGCCTGGGTTCACTGTACAATATTTAAAACATGACTGGCTATGTCAGTTTCTGCTTTGCCGAGCCTATAATAAAAATTCACTTCACTTCATAGGTACAGGTATTGTTCGTTATGTTTGTAGAACAAAGGATAATACAGGTTTCCCCTCGCTTTATGTGGATTCTGTATATATACCAAAAATTCATTTTATGCAAGGTAAATACACTCTTATGCAGTCAGTGTGGTGGAAGCCCGCAACCAGCTGCTTTGTGTGGTGCGACGTGGGAGTGACACGCACCAAAATACAGTCTCCTGTGTGGATCTCCGTTCCTCACTTGTCTGCAACACATGTTTCTGTAGTTGCCATCCCCATTATGATAGTGCCCTGTGCTTGTGTGTACTGTCTGCTGCTGGTGAGTACAAAAATTGTCTTGTAAAAGTGGTAGAAATGGGTCTGGGTGTCAATACAGTCGAGGTCTTGGAACATATCCCTGTTTCTTACATTGTAAAGTGGGTTCCCTTTATGTGAATTCAAGTTATGCACAGTTTTCCAGGAACACATGTACAGCGTAAAGCGAGAGAAACCTGTACTGCAAAAAATCTTCAGGATCATCCTCTTTCTGAATAGGTAGTGCCACATGATTTTATCAGTTCACTCTCACATCTAGTAGGAAAAAAAAAAAAAAGCACCTACACTTTGTTTGGGGCACAGGCACATATTTTAAGAATACAGTTAGGTAAGCAGACTACTTTAGGAACCACCCTTTAACTCAGGAGCTATAAACACATTTCTGATATTTCAGAAACCCCAGAGTCCTCTCAGCTCAGAAAAACAGTCTTCAGAGCATGCCCTGAGGAATATTTAAGTCACACTTCCTGACTGCTATAAATGGGGCTGAGCATGTACATATGTGCAATAAAAGTAAGACTATCCATATAGACAATTAGTTCTGCTGTTTGACATATGCACGACTATACCTTGTACTTTGCCCTTGGATATTTAGGAATGGTTACACTAAGCTATTGATTCAAGAATAATAAACCTAGTCCTTGGAAGCTGGAATAAAAAGGGAACTAGCTTCTGCTCTCTGTGCCTCCTCAGAAAGGGGAGCTAACTCCATCCAATACATTTTTTCACATTACCTTTTTGGCAGCACACTGAAATCCCGTCTGTTTGTCCTGTATTTTGTACACATCCCCGAAAGAGCCAACACCCAGGGAGCCATGGCACTTGGTCCAGTGAACATCTTCTCGGTACTCGTAATCCACTGGCTTTAGTTTCTAAAGGTTAGAAGTCAAAAGAGAAGCTGAAGTAAGCAACTTGACTGCCATGGTGCAGTCATGGGCTGAGATTCAAAAAGAGAAAGCACCCCAAGAACCCACTGAACCCCTTAAAACTCTGAACATAATTCAGAAGACCCTCCTTATTTCCTTCCATTCTTACTTCTGGCATCACTGTGTGGTTAGCAGTAATCTAAATAACTCTACCCATCTGACCCAAAGAGAAACCATCTGTTTTGTTGAAGATCCAAACAACTTCCCCATCCAAAGAAGGTTGCTTTGTTCATTTTCTGGCCAAGTGAAAGTACTCAATGGTCAGTGCTGAGAAGGCCAGTGGGACAAGATGCTGAAGCAGAGAAGGATCTGTTGTGCCTCTAAGCTTCACATGCACTTCTGTCACTCCTGGAAGTACTGCCTACACCAAAGTAGCTGATGGGTATATATGCAGCTGGTTAGACTGGTACCTAGCTACCTCTTTGCTAGGTTATGAGAGACTAAGCATGGGATTTGCAAATGGAATAGACCAGGTCTCACAGGCACAATTTAGTAGCACAAAAAACTGCTAATGGTCAAATAGCAAACAGAATGTTATGACATGTTCACTTGTGTGGACTAGCTCTTTTACAAAGAAAAATAATTACACCAAGGAAGTCTTTGTAGATGGCTACAGGCAGAAACCTCTTCCAGGCACAAAGGCCCACTATACCAAATGTCTCTTGGTGATGCATTTTAAGCCATATGTAAATGTGGCCACATTCTACAAGCTAGAAGAGTTGATACAGTATTTGAATTCATGAATATTCTTTATGGGAGATTTACACTCTGGATAGGACTCAGATTGAGAGTTACTTCTACGGATCTTTTTGCAACACATCAGTAAAAATAGATTTAGGACAGTGTGTACATTCAGTTCTCTTACAGACAGAGACGTGCATGAAGGAACATACTGGATACTTTGCCTAGCACCATATTGGCCCAGGCATGGGATGAAATAGATCACCTCATTAAGCAGGACCCCTTCACTTTCATTTGCCTCTTGAAACTGCTCCTTTGAATCCAGACTGCCTCCTCTCCACGTCTTGGCTAGGCTGGCTAAGTTTCGCGGCTCACCGAGACTCACACTCCCTTTTAAGGCATCCACCAGGTATTCTTCCACAGAAAGTTTGTCCGTGCTGGTTTTCATGGACTGGCTGACACAGTTTGGGAAGCTGCATTCTGATCGTAGGCCAGGTAAATGATGCCCACAATCCACATAGGCCAAATCACCCTGGAGGTATGTCTCTAGAGCATTCAGTTTCATGGCATGAAGAGAACTGTCCAGAGCTGGGAAGCCAGGCTGTAATATATTATAGGGGAAGGGATGGAGTGTCTCTGGCTGAGGCAGATGATTCCTCTGACAGGGAGGCTTCCAAACATGATTAAGGTACTGAATTGGGCTTATCAACTTGTGCAAACGTGGTGCATGTTGGTTCCTTAGTGAAGGGAGTTTGCCTGTGGGTAGCACCTTTCCAGATTTCTCAAATGGGAACTGATTGCAGACCGAATCTTTGCACAGTTCTGAAAACCAGGAGCCATTACTGAAGAAAGTATTTTGGGGGGTTTCATCTTCCTGGAAGACAAGAGAAAGTTAAGCAAGAACTGACAATTTCAACCCAAACCTTGAAGAACAACACTACGTAAATCCTACGTGTTCTGCTTGCAGCACAAGAAGATGAGCAAAGGGGTCTCACCTGGACCGGAATCGGCATACAGCTTTCTTGTTCTGGTGTTCTGGGTCCTTGCTTAGTAGAGACCATTGTCTGTATTCTGAGCCTGGACTTCTTTTTGTGCCGTTTCTTCCTAGCTTTGCCGCGATGCCTTGCCCTCCAACAGGCAGGTGCCATTTTCCCCTCAGTTGCATGAGCCACATTGTTAGGAATTTGATCAAGACTGTCTGACCGGCTACCAAGAAAAGAATAAAACACATTTGAATCTAACCCTGGAACATCTTCCCTAGCTCAGCACTAATGAAACCAGGATTGAAAGTTATCATTATTGCCTCTTGAGCAAGGCAGGAAATTGTCATATAGTCTCATGTGTACATCAGCATGGACACTCAAATACACAGCATCAACTGCAGATTTATTATGCAAGAGAAGGATATCCCAAAGAAAGAGAGTCTACTGGCAGTCATTTTTTATTGATTTTGGAAGGTGCAGAAAGGCCCTTTAGGAAAAGCTTGGCAGTGAAAGTTACTGATAACATTGAAAGTCACTGATAACTTGGTTTGCAAGTCCATGGTCACAACAGTTGAACAATTTATTTAATTTATATTTACATTTGAGTCTCTTTAAATCAAGTAAAATAAAGAGTTAAGTTCTTACAAGGTAGAGATCTTTTTAAAAGCTCAGATCAGTATAAAAGAAAGGACCTGGATTGGTGATTTTAAAATAGGACAGACAAGACTTAGCAAGAGAAAAACCTCAGGTCAGTAAAACTGAACTATGGTAATACTAAAATAGATTTCCAAGGAAAGCATAGATATGCAAACCAGCACCACTCTGAGCAAAATAAGGGGAGGAACCTGCAGCAACAAACAAAAGACTTATCTTTCACAGAATTAATATTTGCTTTTAGTCATTCAACACCTGCCATAATAAATCATTGACTAATCGAACAGAGGAAGTGGTGAAACTGCTCTTCATGTGAAGAAATCCAAAGTTTAGCTCAAACTGCATTGTGTGGATCAATACATCTGCCCTTGGTATGCTGAAGCACAAAGCAGTACAGTTTTTCTCTGCCCCTTTCCATTTTTCTCCAAAGCCTCTTCTGTCATGACATTTAGGAAATCTAATAAGCTGAGCTCTGGGTTCTAAGCTCAAGAAAAGCAAAGACAAGGCTTTTGATTCATCATATTTGCATGCATTATAATTAAGTCCCTGAACTGATAGAGTTTGCACTACTTCAGCTGGTCCCTGGGTGCTTTTTCAGCCAGTCTGCTTCACCCTTGGTTCATAACAAAGTAATCCAGCCCTGGACTTTTTATGCCGAGTCAGGAGGAAGTGGAGGCTGCAGTGGATCATTAGCAAGGTAGAAAAAGTTATGCTCAAGTGGCCACAGGCAAGTAAGCCTCTCAGGCCATTATGCCAGATGCAGCCTGTGAGGCCATTCTATCCAGCCTGTGCAGCCCCTAAAAAACATTTAGAAAATTAAAGTTTATCTGTCCTTGGTTCCAAGGGCAGTAGGACCCAGGGGAAGCCCTGGAGGGCTCCTTCAACAGAGCCTACCTGGCCCTGCCACCCCAGCCAGAAGCCCCAGCAGGGGCTTCTGGCCTGGGACCACCTGGCTGCCCCAGCACAGGAACCTCAGGTAAGGGGGGAGGGAGGACAGGGAAGGAGCTGGTGCAGAGCGTGGGGAAAAGCGGCCCCAGCTTGTCCCATGGCAAGTCATCCCTGCTTCAGCTGCTTGCAGCCCATGCGGGGCTGTCCTGAGCAGGCACAGGAAGCCCCAGGCAGGCTGCGAGTGGCTGCAGCATGGGGCACCGGCCACAGGGCGGTTGGGCACAGCGTGGGGCACCAGCCACAGCACCAGCCTGTAGCCCATGCCCGCTGCCAGCCTGGGCTCCACGCAGCTCTAGGCTTGCCCATCGGGGCTGTGCCATGGCGGCAGCAGCTGTGGCCCCCCCACTTGCTGTGCCAGGCATCGTTTGTTGCTGCTGCCCAGCATGCGAGCTCCGGGCAGGCAGCAGCAGCCAACACTGGCCAGCACGACAAGTGGGGGCGGGGCCCGCAGCCGCTGGCGCCCGCCACGGGGGGG